CCTTAAGGCACAGCCACCCTTCCTGGGCTCCCATCTCTTCAAAACTCCTACTCTGCAGTGCATCCTTGACTAATCTCCTGAGCTCCTTGAAATCAGCTTTCCTAAAGTCTAGCACTTTCACCCTACTAGTTACCTTACCCACTCAATGCCTTATGATGAATTCTATTATTTGGTGATCGCTGTCCCCCAGGTGACTACCAATCTGTAGGTCCCCTACCATATCATCCCCCATTGCCAATACCAGGTCCAGTAAGGCATTCCCCTTAGTGGGACCATGTACCTCCTGCGTCAGGTGGAGGTCCTGTACGCAGGATAGGAACATGCGTGAACGGTGGGACTTTGCTGTCTGTCTCCCCCAGCAGATGCCTGGGTAGTTTAGGTCCCCCATGACTACTGCCTCCTTAGTTTTTATGGTCTCTGAGAGCTAGCCCCCACTGATGTAGTTCATCCGCCTTCTTTGTAACAGGTACATTTTCCCTGACATAGAAGCATCATGATCCTACCCTGATACAGCAAGATCAAACTGAAATAGTATATATTAGGGTGACAGCCTTCCTTTTAAATGAAAGTGCTGCATAATACAGAAACACTGACACCCGTATCCATGCTAAAACTCTCCTCAGCCAACAACATGCCAACAATTACAAGAAAACAATATTTGCATTTAAGTTATATTGAACAGTGTGAATTCAAGACACCATAAAAATTCCACCAAGATCATCACTCAACAGCATTAATATGCACAAAAATATAAAATGTGGTATTTAAAATTTTTAAATGAAAAGAAACACAATCACTGCCTAATTGCAATAACTTCCATTTGATCTTGATATACTCCAAATTAACAGCTTTAGTGTGTCAATCAAACACCTCGACATTATTTTCATGATTAGTTGATCTGTGGTAGAAATTTATTGCTTCACATACTTTGACAGGCCAGAAATAAACATGCAGGTAAATTTATGTACTGTGATCCCTAAACAACAAAATTCAATTCCCTTAAGATCTTCTGTGCACCATGCCCAAAACAATTAGCAACAGTACAATATTCTGTTCAGACAGTCTGTGGAAGGAAAGGTCATCTGAAATGACTTCAGCCGAATGAATGGAGTTGCTCAAGTATGTAATTTGTAATAAAAATTCGATGGTGATAAAATATGTAGGTGACTTCTTTGCTTCAAATTCACACCTAACATCAGGTCCTAACAAATGACATTTGAGATATGGTTTCCACTTTTTAAAATATAATGTAAATATAGTGTAAATTTAAAGATAAACTTTCAGACTGGAGTAAACTTTTGACAGTGTCTAGATATATCAAAAGTAGTGATAACAGTTCAGAAGGTAAAGGAACAGAAGGAGATACTGTTTCTGTCCTATGCTACCATTAATAACCCTGACCTGATCCTAGAATGGTCATAAAACTTACTCCAATTTTATACCATGGTAAAAAATGGACCTTGGCACTAACAATCTGATAACTTCATTTTGTCATGTTAATAATAGCATCCCTTTGTTATCCTTTCCTGCTTCTAATCCTACAGATAAATTTCCTACTTGGAATGCCTTCTCTATGCAAGACCTCATTGGAGATCAGCTGCTGAATAACCAGCATGGGATAGAGAAATCAAAAAACTACTTCCACCTAATGGGGGAAGCAATTTTCAATCAAGCTGGGACCAGTTTCCAAAGTGGGTTACCGTAGCTACAAAGCAGGCAGCTTTCTCTACAGGCAGGTTCATTCTCTGTGCAAGCTTAGACACGATGTTTTCTCAGCAGTATCTAGGTCACTGAAACTTGTCTGTAGTTACTTTCTGATTTTGCGTGCACACACACACACACACACACACACACACAGTGTATGTGTGCGCATGTGCGTGTATATAGCGTGTGCACACACACACACACATACACACACACACACAAATGAATTATGACAAATGAATAATGCATAATATAATGAATACTATTAACTACTAGTATTACTACTAATATAATGAACTGAAATTAACTTACCATGAGGCTGTAAACCAAACTCTTGTTCACTCCCTTAAGTGTGATTAATTTCTGGCATGATTTCTTTTACAGCAGGAAGATAAAAAGCTACGTACACCCACTCTTTTTGAAAGAATATATTTCTAAGTTATTTGTAGCATAAAAAGCAACTCATTTCAAGAGATTACTTAACATTAACATGCACTCTCCTTTCATATATAGCTATGATATAAACTGCACTTACTCAATGCACCTAACCATATAATCTGTATCATCAGTCCACTGTACCTGCACTCTGCCAGTTACTATACCTGGACTGGGAATTTATGCACTGCAAGCCTTGAAGTAGTACAATCTTATCATTTTCATCATCTTTTCTTTCAAATGCATAATTTTGGCCTCAATCAGTTACCCGTGGCCCAGACTGAACAATGTCCAGTTCTGGATGAGTAAGGTTCAAAAAGTTTAAGATCCCACTGGAGCAGTAAAAGTAACTTTATATTATTCAAAAATGAGTATTTCCACTTTTCATCATTTACTTCCTAGCCCTGGAAGATCCCAATGTAGTCATGACATTTTAAGTGAAAAAAGTGTTTTGGGTTTTTTTTCTATTTTTCAAGAATATGTTTATGCCATCATTTTTTTCTTTTCCGATATAGAGGTGTGCACAGTTGGACTCTTGATCTGAAGAAAGTATGACTCTCAAATTATTTATTGTGCAACAGATACATGGTATGTGACATTTAGGCTTTGGGTGGCAGAAGCATTTTATTGGCACATTTGAAATGATCTGCATAAACCAGTAGTGGTTTGACCATTTGTTAGTATGACCCGTGTATTTAAAAAAAACATCTTATGCAAAAACATACTTGAGTTTTCCTTCTCCATATTTTATGTATACACATATCTGCAGAGATGTATACATGATTCAATTCATTTAAAAGGGGTCAAAGCTCTATACAGAAAGGACTGTTTTGTTAGAGGAGAATTTTAGTACTTCTGAAAGCTGGATGTATGACGGTTATAGGTGCTAAGAAACAAAGCATGTAAATTATCTGCAACCCCCACCTCTGTACTTTCAGTATTAGACCTCTCTTGAAAATTAACATGTGAAAGCTGATGTCTCCTGCAGTGGATATGCATTAAAGACAAATACAATCAGGGAATCCCATTCAGACTGGGCCTCCAGTGGAGAAAAAGCTTGTCCATTGATTTAACAGTGATGCATATATAACACCATGTATCACTCTCAGTGGCTAAGTTGTAACATACTACAAGGCATTTTCTCTTTCCTTTTAAAAGTATTTTTCATCAAGCAATCATGTTTTGTATTAGAGGTTATACTAGCCCAAAGCATCCACTATAGGCTATAAATTAATGTAAAGCTTATCTTGAATTTATCAAAAATTACTAATTAAAAAAACCGTATCCTCTCTTTCTTTCTCATTCTTCCTAGGTTAAGTATTTTAATTCTTCCCATATGTTAGATAAACATTAATGAATCTTATTTGCACATATATATGGAGACTCATTATTCATATTAGCTAAGTTAATATGTCACATCTGGCAGAGGCTGCAGTCTTATACAAATCAAACAACAGCTGCTAAATATCAGAAACTATGCTTGATTTTTTTCAGATTTTATGGGAAACGTGGTCTGCTTTAATTTTAATCTCATCAAGGAGAAATTATCTGCATATTATATGCAGAGTAAGTTAAGAATTTGTTTATATAGCAGTACAGTTTTAGTGAACCGCCACTGAAGGTCTACTCTATTGCTAGTCCATTTTAAAGCAATGAATTTGATTACTTAGCTACAATAAAAAAGATTCAGTTTGACAGCAAAAAGACGCCTCATCTTCAAAGATGCTTTCAATTGAATGCTTATAATGTATTTTTTTAAAGTTTGAAATGCTTTTTTGCAAGTATTTTCAAAGGAACAAAAATCCTAGCATGTGATTTTCATTTAGTGTGAAATCATGGCTTTGAGAAAATGGGAGTCTAAGCACTTCCACATGTTTTCTTATTTACCTGTATAAGAATACCACTACTTGTCTATACCAATATTTTCTTTAAGACTGCCATTCTGACCTACACATACCGACACTGACTGGTGTAAAATAGTTTATAAATACCATATTTACTTGAATAGATCACCCCAAGTATATGATAATTCCCCCCACCCCCACAATAATGAGATTCTCTATATGGAAAATTTATAAATTTGTTATGATTTTCCAGGTATAGACTCTAATTATTGGAGGTTTGCTTTGAATTTTTCCCCTTCCAACATCAGGGAAAATAAATCTGGGGGAATCAAATAGCTCTTTGTTCTCTGCTTCCCCCCAACTTTTTCCCCTGGCAGCCCCTTCCATCTATCTTTACTGTCAGACCCTGGCTGTAAAAATTTCCATGCAGTACCCATAGACTTAGTTCATCTAGAATTGATATATGTTATCTTTTTTTAAATTATTTCAAGTTTTAGCACAGGTGTTTCATAAACAAAATTCTGAGCAGCACTTTGGCAGCTACTTATGTCTGGTATAAAGTAGGGACAAAAATCAGTTCCAAATTTCAAATTCACTTGGGCACTGCCTATGAGTCAAGTTCTGAAATTTGACTGAGTTGAGCTTAATCATCAAGTCTGGGTGGCTCTACCACTGGTCAAGTATCTTCCCTCCCAGACCAAACAGTCTGGGGTTTCAGATACTCAGATACTATATATTTTTTTAAATTTTCACTTCAAGGGCCAAATCAGTTCTGATAACTATTGGGCAAAGCCAGTAGTCAAGTTTAAATTTCAACTGAGCAGAGTTCAATCATTCAAGTCTGTGTGTGTGGCTCCACCACCAGGCCAGTATTCTCCCTCCCAGACCCATCAGTTGTAGGCTTTGGATACTCCCCAAATCCATGGCAGGCATCCTATCTGCAATACAAGCCCAAGGCCTTGGGGTTTGATGTCCCCTAGTCTCACTGCTTGTAGCCAAAAGGCTGAGGAGGAAGCCAGGGGGTAAACATGAATGCAGTCCCCCATCACCACAAAATTGTGCAGTTGCATTTCCCACAATTCAGAGGAAACTTGTAGGGGTCAGCCTGCCCAGAGTGCAAAGGACAGGCCTCATCCTGGGAAGAACACCTTCTTGATTATGGTATCTCCCCTTGCCTGCCTGCCTCCCCCACACCACTTTATTTTTTTAGCTTCATGCCTTGGGCCAAATCAGCCAAATCAGTTGCAAATTCTGAACAGAGCTCAAGTGTTCAAGTCTGTGGGGCACAACCACCAGTAGCCATCCTCCCGCCTAGACTTCTCAGTATGGGGCTTCAGATACTTCCAAATCAATGGCAGGGATCCTACGTACAAACCGAAGCCTGAGGCCTTGGAGTTCAGATGCCTCCTCGTCTTGCTTGTCCCTTGACAAAAGGCTGAAGGAACAAGCTACAGGGAAATCCCAAGAACAGTCCCCCATCACCATAAATTCTGTAGCCAAGATCCTCATATTTGGAGGCATGTGTAGACTCTCACAAAGGGCAGGCCTTCAACTCAAGGCTAAGAAAGGTATCTTCCCTGCCAGGTTATCTGGAGCCTCTCCATCTTCTCTTGCGACTCCTGAGCTGCAGGATCCCTTCACCTTAGACTTCCACAAAGTCACAGTGAGCACAGACCCTTCAACTACATTTATTCAACTTCCTTTTACAGCATTGGTCCCTTTATGAACTTTACAATTTTAGAAAGCAGGGCCAGGGCACACAAACCTGACTTCCCCGGCCTCTTACATTCAAAATAAAAGCAGTTAAAGCATGTTATCATAGTCAAAACAAGCACAAATAAGGGATATATAAATAAGGGGCACAGTCCCTGTAATCTGACATTGTATATCAATACCAGTGTGCAAATAAGTACTGCAGAGAGGTTATCACACAGCACCTTGCCATATTTTCTAGAGCTCTACTAACTTTTCTCTCTCTCCTCCAGACTCTCTTCAATTTGTCACATTTTCCTTTAAATGGTGTGACCAAAACTTGACAGAGTGCTTCATTTAGGCCTCAACAGTTCTGAACAGGGCAGAAGAATTGCTTCCTGTGACAGAGAGAACAATATTGTGGCTCACCATGACTTGGAAAAGAGTTGGCAGTAAGGGGGATTGCATTTAACAGGCACTAGTATATATGACTTTTGGCTAAGAGTAAATAAAATTAGGAGGCATTCAAACTCCAAGGAAAGAAC